AAATTATGGGATGATAAACTATGAATGGCTCAGTTCTCAGCAACACAATGATCCAAGACAAGTACAAAGGACTCATGAAGGAAAATGCTATCCACATCCAGAGAAAGAACTAATGGACTCTGAATGCAGATCGAAGCATATTTTTTTTTCTTTATTCTTTCTTGTGTTTTTTTTTCCCCATTTGATCTGTTTCTTCTCTCACAACTGTAACTAATATGGAAATGTGTTTTACATGATAGCACATGTATTATCTATACCAAATTGTCAACCATTTTCAGAAGAGAGGAAGGGAGGGAGGGAGAAAAATTTGAAACTCAAAATCTTGTAAAAACAAATGCTAAAAATTGTCTTGACATGTAATTGGGAAAAAATAAAATACTATTTAAAATTTTTAAAAAGAAAGTCTCAGAGGATCAACTAAAAAAACTACTTGAAATTAACAATTTTAGCAAAGTTGCAGGATACAAAATAAACCCATATAAGTCATCAGCATTTCTATATATTACCAACAAAGTCCAGCTGCTCGAGATAGAAGAGAAATTTCATTTAAAATAACTGTACAAATAACTGTAGATAGTATAAAATCCTTGGGGGTCTGTATGCCAAGACAAACCCAGGAACTATATGAATACAACTATAAGACACTTTTCACACAAATAAATATAATAAGACAATATATATATATATATAAATATAAGACAACTATAAGACACTTTTCATACAAATAAAGTCAGCTCTAAACAATTGGAAAAATATTAATTGCTCATGGGTAGGCCGAGCCAATATAATAAAAATGACAATTCTACCTAATCTATTCATTCAGTGCCAACCAAACTATCAAAATTTATTTTATAGCGCTAGTAAAAAATAATAACAAAATTCATTCGGAAGAACAAAAGCTCATGAAGATATCAAGGGAATCAGTGGAAAAAAATGTGAAGGAAGGTGGTCTAGCCATACCAGATCTCAAACTATATTATAAAGCAGTAATCATCAAAGTAATCTGGTACTGGCTAAGAAACAGAGTGGTGGATCAAGTGGAATAGATTAGGTACAAATTACGTTATAGTAAATGACCACAGTAATCTAGTATATGATAGACCCAAAGATCCAAGCTTTTGGAACAAAAACTCATTATTTGACAAAAACTGCTAGGAAAACTGGAAAACAGTATGGCAGAGACTCTGTATAAACCAACATCTTACACTGTATACCAAGATAAGGTCAAAATGGGTACATGATTTATACCTAGAGGGTGATACCATTAGCAAATTAGGAGAGCATGAAACAGTTTATCTGTCAGATTTACAGATAAGGGAAGAATTTAGGACCAAGGAAGATATAGAGAGCATTATAAAATGTAAAACAGATGATTTTGATTTTTACAAAATTAAAAAAGTTTTTGCACAAGCAAAACCAATGCAACCAAAATTATAAGGAAAGCAGAAAACTGGGAGGAGGGGGGATTTGCAACAAGTATCTCTGATAAAGACTTCCTTTCTCAAATATATAGAGAACTGAGTCAAATTTATAAAAATACAAGTCATTCCTCACCTGATAAATGACTTCAAAGAATATGAACAGGCAGGCAGTTTTCAGACAGAGAAATCAAAACTATCTATAGTCATATGAAAAAATGTTCTAAATCACTATTAATCAGAAAAATGCAAATTAAAGCAAGTCTGGGGTACTGCTTCACACCTATCAGAGTGGCTAATATGACCAAAAAAAAAGGAAAATATTGAATGTTGGAGGGGATGTGGGAAAACTGGGACACTAATGTACTGTTGGTGGAGTTGTAATCTGACACAATCATAGAGCAATTTGGAACTATGCCCCAAGGGCTACATACCCTTTGATCCAGCAGTACCACTCTTAGGTCTATATCCAAAGACTTCCAAAAAAAAGGAGGGGGGAAAGGACCTATTTGTACAAAAATATTTATAGAAGCTCTTTTTGTGGTGGCTAAGAATTAGAAATTAAAGGGATGCCCATCAGTTGGGGAATGGCTAAACAAGCTGTGGTATAAGATTGTAATGGAATATTATTGTGCTGTAAGAAATGATGAGCAGGCAGATTTCAAAAAAACTGAGAAAGACTTACATGAACTGATGCGTAGTGAAGTGAACAGAACCAGAAGAACGCTGTACACAGTAACAGCAATATTGTTCTATGAGCTGTGAATGACTTAGCTATTCTTAGCAATACAATGATCCAAGATGATCCCAAAGGACTAATGATGAAGCATACTATCCACCTCCAGAGAAAGAACTGATATTGTTTGAATACAGACTGAAGCATGCTATTTTTCACTTTGCTTCATTTTTTTATTTTAGTCTTCTTATACAAAATGACTAACATGGAAATGTTTTACGTAATTGTACATGTTTAATAACCTATATCTGGTTGCTTACCATATCAAGGAAGGGAGGGAGAGATGGAGGGATACAATTTGGAACTCAAAACTTTAAATAAAAATGTAAAAAAAAAAGAAGAAGAAGAATTATACTTGTTCTGTTAGTCCCAGAAGGCAGTTAGATGGAAGGTGTAGAAATGCATCTTTAGATTTGCTTTATGGGAACCTTTTTGTATTAAAGTTATCCACAAGTAGAACAGGCTTTACCTTGGGAGGAGATTGGTTCCCTCTCACCTCACTTCAATACAACAAATACTAAGTTCCTACTTTGTAAGGCAAGGATTCTGGGGCTACATAGACAAAAATTAAACAATACCTGCCTTCAGAGAGCTTACATTCTAATGGTAGAATAAAACACACACAGAGATAGTAAATATGAAGTATATACAAAGTAATTTCAAGAGGAAGAGAGGAGCAACAACTTGGTGAATCCAATTGGAATGACCTTCTCTAGGAGATGACACCTCAGTTGTGCTTGGAAGGAAGCTAGGGATTCTAGGAAGCAGAAGAGAGGAAGCAGTTCAATGAAGACATAGAGCCACCACCTCAGCAAATAAATGGAGGTCAGAAATGTTTATGGGGGAAAAATAGCAGGTCAGTTTGAGTGGAATGGAGAGTTTGTGAAGAGGAAAAAGATCGAAAAGGTAGGTTGAAACCTTATTATGGAGAACTTTAATTTTTATATTTTTATTCTGAGGCAATAAGGAGCTACTGAAGATTTTTGATTAGGGAAGTCACATGGTCAGATCATTGTTTTAGAAATATGATTTTTGCATTTGTGTAAAGGATGGATTATTTGGAGAGACAGGATTGCAAAAGACTGTTGAAATAGTTCAGGTGAGGGTCTGGAAAGAAGGGAATTGATGTAGAAGATGTTATGGAGATGAAATTGAGAAGACTTGGCAAATGTAAGTTAGGTGACTGCTTCTTAGATATGTTTTAGAGGTGATTCTTGGTCAGGAAGAGGTTGGATTAGATGTAGTTCCCTCCCAATTTTGAGATTCTATGAATTTGTGACTTGGCACTAATTTCACAGAGTCCAAGATCAAAATATTCCCATGCAACTGAAGGACTCCTCTGTGGACAACAAAGTTATAAGAAAGCCTTCTTAGCATTTGACCTTGCCACCCACAAAATGGTCCTACTTTGGGTTAGCATAGCCACAGAACCGTTACTCATTATCCTTAAGGCTTCCTGGTTCCATATTTATAATCCCTTTATTCTCTTAATTAAAAATCTTGTCCTCTTCTACTTGGTCTAGTATTTATACTTCTTTTTTTTCCCTTAAAATCAAGAATGGCCAGCTAGGGACCACCCTTTGACTTTATGACATCTTGGTGGCCTATCCAGATGGGGTATTTTCTTTAATAGAAAATAGTCACAGCCAGGATATCCCAGGCAATGCCTCCACTTATCCATTCAGCATGTGGATTTAAAACTCTATTTGGGAAACAAAGGGCTACATCACTTTCACCATACTGACTACTTTGCAAAGTTTTGACTGAGGGCATAGATCCCATCTGGAAACACATGCAGTATCAAGGCCATAGTTAAAGACTGTGTACATATTGCTAGAAAACTTAGAGGGGATTTACTTCTTATCTCATAGGGAGCCTTAATTTTTTTACCAAAAAAAAAATTTGGAAGACTGTATCCCTGCATATATTAACATGTGCTCAATCAGCTACCACTAAAGACATATCTAGGGACATAGGTCTTTAAGCAACCTGATTGTTTCCCTGACTAGTTCTTTGATAACTTTTGAACACAAAATGTATGCTTGCCAAAAAGACTATTTTACAGAGAACTCACACAGGGCATATGTTCACATGGCGATCAGAAGAAGCAATACAAGGACACTCTCAAGGTCTCTCTTAAGAACTTTGGAATTGGAGGCAGCTAGGTGGTGCAGTAGATAGAGCACCAGCCCTGAAGTTAGGAGGGCCTGAGTTCAAATCAGACCTTAGACCAAACACTTGACACATACATGACTTTGGGCAAGTCACTTAACCCTGATTGCCTCACTAAAAACAAAAAACAAAAAAACAAACAAGCACAAAAAGAACTTTGGAATTGATTGTGTGACATGGGAGACACTGGTACAGGACCACTCAGCATGGCGTGCCATCATCAGAGAAGGTACTGTGCTCTTTAAGCAAAGCAAAATTGAAGTAGCCCAAAAGAAACACAAGATGTGCAAATTTAGAGAACCCACCTCAAATGCACACATGGACTCTTTGTGCCCTACCTGTGGTAGAACGTTCTGAGCTCATATTGCTGTGATCAGCCACAGTCCAACACATTGAAACTTGATTCTAGCATAGTGATATCATTTTGGTTCTCTTCGAGAGCAAAGGACAACAAGTACCAGTGTTTGATGACTCCATGGTTTTGACTTAACACGCAAAGAGAATGTGTAGAAAAGCACATTTCAGATTAGAGACATTTCAAATAAAGAATACCATGTATTTGGCACACTATTTAGCAGCCTGGTGACTTTTCAACACTTTAATAGGGCGCTCAGAGAATTCTTTGGTTATTTAATGGTTACCTATTTGAAGATTTGCTCTTTTTCTTCTTTCAGCCAGAACACACCCAGTATGTGTGAGCAGTTCTATAGAGCTCCAGGAATGCTGACTATTTGTCAAACCAGAGAAATGCACCTTTGACTGCAAGACTGTTAAATTCCTGGCCTAGCTATCTTCCCTGAAGAACTTCAAATGGATCTTTACAAGTTATCTACAGTGATAGACTAAGAATGACCTACCAAGGTATGTAGACTGTTAACAATTGGACTTTTCTAACATCATATAGAATTTATTAGCAGCTATTCCTAAATTGTGATATATATCATGACCTTATTTAATAAAAGTGCTTGTTTTCAATGAACTTTGGTTACCTGAGCAGCTTTTACATAGGTCAAAGCAGCCTAAACTTTCATCCCTAATTTGTTCAGTCCCTCAAATTAGTACAGCTCCTTCTATTCTCTGTGTTTGCAGGTACCCCACTGCAAGGCCTCATTTGCCAGTTGGGATAATCACCTGCATGTAATTCAAGACAACCTGAACCAGCTATTGGAAAAAAAACATACAAAGTTAGAAAAAAGACAGGTTGTCATTGCTAAGTGGTTGTCTGTCTCTTTTCTGAATGTCAATTATCACGCTATAAAATTTGACCAGTGATACCACAGATATTTTTTCACTGTCCAGTAAATTTACCCAATTACATTCAAGTTTACACTCCCTTACTCAAGTCATCTGGTGTTCTGTCTTCTTCCTCAAATTCTATGTACAAAATCCCTTTCTCAATTTTTTTTCAACATTAACTTTTATAAGATTTTGAGTTCCAAACACTCTCCTCCCCCCTCTCTAAGATGGCAAGCAATGTGATATATGTTATACATGTACAATCACATTAAACATATTTCCACATTAGTCATGTTGTGAAAGAAGAATCAGAACAAAAGGGGGAAAAAAACAAGAGAAAGAAAAAAAAACAAAAAAAAAAGGTGAAAATAGTACGCTTTGATCTATATTCAGACTCCATAGTTCTTTCTCTGGATGTGGATAGCATTTTCCATCATGAGTCTTTTGGAATTGTCTTTGTGTACAATTTGTCATTGTATTGCTGAGAAGAGCCAAGTCTATCAGATTTGATCATTGCACAATATTGCCATTATTGTGTACCATGTTCTGGTTCTGCTCACTTCACTCAGCGTCAGTTCATATATGTCTTTCCAGATTTTTCTGAAATCTGCCTGCACATCATTTCTTATAGCACAATAGTATTCCATTACATTCATATACCAAAACTTGTTCAGCCAGTCCCCAATTAATGGGCATCCCCTCAATTTCCAATTCTTTGCCACCACAAAAAGAGCTATTATAAATATTTTTGTACATGGGGGTCCTTTTCCCTTTTTTATGATCTCTTTGGGATAAAGACCCAGTAGTGGTATTGCTGGACCAAAGGGAAGGCACAATTTTATAACTCTTTGGGCACAATTCCAAATTGTTCTCCAGAATGGTTGGGTCAGGTCACAACTGCATCAACAGTGCATTAGTGTTCCCATTTTCCCACATTTTCCTTTCCTGTCATATTAGCCAGTCTGATAGGTGTGATATGGTACTTCAGAGTTGTTTTGATGTGCATTTTTCTGATTAATTGTGATTTAGAGCATTTTTTCATATGACTATAGATAGCTTTGATTTCTTTGCCTGAGAACTGCCTGTTCATATCCTTTGAAGCCATTCATCAATTGGGGAATGACTTGTATTTTTATAAATTTGACTCAGTTCTCTATATATTTGAGAAATGAAAAAAGAAAGAGAGAAATGAGGCCCTTACTAGCAGTAAAAATTTTTTCCCAGTTTTCTGCTTTCCTTCTAATCTTGGTTGCATTGGCTTTGTTTTTGCAAAAACTTTTTAATTTAATATAACCAAAATTATCTTTTCTCAGTTTAAGGCAAGAAATATATATCAGATACCTACCATGTTCAATACTTAACTTAGTACTCTACTAGTTAATGCCTCTGGTCTGTTCCTTCAACTTTAAAACTTGCCTTTCTGGAGCTACCCTTCTTTTTGGAATAAAACCTCTTCTTTCCAGTTCTTTTAGAAAAAAGATCCTTTATATTTTTCTCTGGAGAACCCCCCTCACGATCTCATTCTCTCCCTCCCTTCCTTCCCCTCTCCATTCCCCCTTCTGGTTTTCTTTCTCAGCTAGAATATTCCATCTGAATGTTCTCTGTGTACTAATCCAGTCCAATCCAATCAACATTTATTAAGTGCCTTATGAGTGCCAGGTACTGTACTAAGGGCTAGGGGTACAATTAATTTTAAAAAAGTGGGGAGGGAACGATCCCTACCCTCAAGGAGTTTAAAATCTAAAGGTGGAGACAACACACAAAAGGAAGCAGGAAAGGGTGGGGCGGAGGGCAGGGAAGTGGGGCACACTGAGCATCTTGTTCCATGGAGTTGAAATAAGACAGAGCACCTCTAGAGCAGTGGTGTAAATTAGAAACAGATCCCTACTGGCCACATATTGACTTAGAAAATCACAATTTAGAACTGATCCAGCCATTCTAGGAAGCAATTTGAAACTATGCCAAAGGGCTATAAAGCTGTGCATATCCTTTGATCTAACAATACCATTGCTAAGTCTGTATCCCAAAGAAAATTTGAAAAAAAAAAAAAAGGAAAAGGAAGAGGACCTACTTGCACAAAAATATTTATCGCAGGTCTTTTTATGGTGTCTAAGAATTGGAAATTGAGGGGATGTCCATCAATTGGGGAATGGCTGAACAAGCTCTAGTATATGAATGTAATGGAATATTATTGTGGTATAAGAAATGACAAGCAGGATGATTTCAGAAAAACCTGGAAAGACTTACATGAACCGATCCAAAGTGAAGTGAGCAGAATTGTGAATGACCTAGCTGTTCTTAGCAATACAATGGTCCAAGACTATCCCAAAGGACTCATGATGAAACAATGCTATCCACCTCCAGAGAAGAAACTAATATTGTCTGAATATGGATTGAAGCATATTATTGTCTGTTCCTTCCTTCCTTTTTCTTTTTTGTTTGTGTCTTCTTGTACAAAATGACTAATACGGAAATGTTTTACATGATTGCACATGTATAACCTATATCAGATTGCTTACCGTCTTAGGGAAGGGGGAGGAGAAGAAGGGAGGGAGGGATAGAATTTGGAACTCAAAACTTTTAAAGAAATGTTAATTGTTTTAACGTGTAATGGGGGAGGGTGATAAAATATTTTTAAAAAATCAATTTAACATCATCTATGCTATTATTGTTCATTAGTTTCAATCATGTCTGACTCTTCATGACCCCTTTTGTGGTATCTTGGCAGAGATCCTGCAGTAGTTTGCCATTTTCTTTTTCAACTCATTTTACAGTTGAAGAAACTGAAGCAAACAATTAAGTGACTTTGCCCAGGGTTACAAAGGTAGTTAAGTGTCTGAGGCTGAATTTGAACTCAGGAAAATGAGTCTTCCCAACTTCAGACCAGGTACTCTATCCACTGTGTCACCTAGCTGCCTAAATCTATGCTGTACTTTTTTATTTTGTTAAGTTTCCTAATTATATTTTAATCTTATTCTGGTTGCACTTTGGAGTTTTACAGACAGCAAGTTTGATGCCTCTGTACTAGAGGACTCTAGTAATGTTGATAGGTCTCAATCTCCTCAGATGGTTGCTGGGTAAATGATTTAGCAGCTTGGAATTTGAGAGGAACTAGATTTTATATTTTATGTATGAAAGAAATTTAACTGAACACATAGCATATACCTATACATAAGCAGATTTCTCCACAATTCCCAAATCTGCCCTATATGTGTCTCCCTTTATTATGAGGCCTGGGACTGCCTTTTGCACAGTGTTTGGCACATAGTAAGCACTTAATAAATGCTTTTTCATTCATTGACTTCATTCATTCAAAATCAGATTTCTTCCTAAACTTTGGCTAATCCAGCATCTTCATCTTTTTATTAGGTCTGAGGGCCTCTAGAACCTATTTCGGGTTCTTGATATGTATACCATATTCTACCTTGGCTTCTTCAAAGAACTTATCCACTCAACACTTCCACTTCACTTCAATTGATTCCTCAGGTATATATGTCCAAATAGGATTTTGCTCAAGCTCTGGACTTGTATCACCAACTGTCTACTCAACATTTCTACCTAAATGCCCTTCAATTATCAGTAATAATCACGTATTGAGCAACAACTAAGAGTAAAACACTGCAAGGTACTGGGCATATAAAATTGAATAAAACAAGAACCCTGTCTAAAACTTAACTCATCATCTTCCCCAAAATCATCATCTCTTCTAACTTTCCTATTTTCATTAGGTACTTTCTCTATCATCTGAAGCACCTATATACAAAAGTTCAGTGATCTTAAATCCTTCTCTTTCCATTGCTTCCTCCATATGCAGTCATTTGCTGAGTCCTATTGATTCCTATAATAATTCACTTCATTCTACCTTTTCCATTCCTAATACTGCCATTGTATGGGCCCTTGTGAATGAATGAAAAAATTTGTTGGGTGCTTCCTAAATACTGGGGAAGAGAAGAGAGAAGAGAAGAGAGAGAGATGAAATATTCATATTAGTTGATTACTATTCCCACTGGAAGAAGTACAAAGGAGATTGAGGGGCTTGAAGCCACAGAGTAAGGGGTGCGATTAGGGAGCTAGGCCTGACTACATAAAGTGAACTCTTAACAATTAACATGGCCTTAGGGAAGGATGGCCATTTTTGTGGGAGAAGTAATTCTGGATGGCATGAGTAAAAAAGTACCTATCACCTAAAATTATAGAATCATGAAATTTTAGAGAAAGAAATGATGTTAAAGAGAACCTAGTCCAACTCATCCATTTTTATTTTATGTTAGCTTGGTTTATCTTGTTTTTATTGATAAATTTTGACTTAACACAGCAGATAAAACATAACAAAACATAACATAACTCCCTGAAACAACTAAACCAAATAACTAGTTTGTAGTTAGTAAAGAATAGCTACAATTGATGGTATGTAAAACTGTTAAAAGAATAATTGCATTTTAACCTCAAGAAGATAGTACCATTGCGTTAAATCAGAGTTTTGTTGCTGTTTAATGTCTTTTTTTCTTAATTTTATTTTTTTAATGAACAGAAATCTATTTCCTCTCTCTCTTGCCCCACTTAAAAAAAATTCCCTGCAACTAATATGCAAAGGCAAGCAAAAACAAATTCTTCTGTTGTCTGTG